ACGCAATTTTAGGGACGGGAAAAGAAAGCGAATCTCTATGGTCAGCACACAGTCCAACTGTGCATACATACTATTTCAAGCATTCTCGTCCGATAAGCATTAGAATGCATATAAGGTTGGTGGTAATACCTATAGTGGACAGGGATTGGGCCTATTTTGAGGGATGGGGAGCGTGAACCTTTATGGCCATCACACAGTACACAACCGAACTCTGCATACATATCGCTTCAAACGACAAAGTAGCTTGTTCAACAGGTTAGCGTAGAGATGTGTTATTCAATAATAGAACCGAAGCCTCTCTTATCGGTTGGATCCCCGTCAGCGAAAAGATAACGGCGACCGATCCCTGCAGTTCTGCGTAGACCATAATCTGTTTCTGTCTAGGACCGAATGCTCGACGGCAATGTGGCTATCGAACTCAACCGGTAAGTTGACCAAAACAGACCACATAGCAGTAAGCTATTGTTGGCTTGGCTCAGTATAAGAGTGGAGATTTTATTGGGCCACCTGCGTTGAGCCTGATCATGCAGTGGCTTTGATGCGGTTGGCTCTCTGGCTCAATAGTAGCCGACAAAAGCAGTAAACTTGACTGGCGCATCACCGTTTGTCATACACAGCAGTTTGTGTCCGTTGTCAATCACAGATAAACAATAATCCTTGTCTTAGAAGCTCATTCGGTGGATTACCGTGATTTCTAAGGAAAACCTATCGGGGCCGTTAGCTTACATGCTGACTGGTGGATGCCAAATTCGAATATGAAAAGATCAGTGCTATCGGTGTGGCCTCGTAGCTCAGCTGGTAGAGCATGCGCGTACAAAGCGTAGGCGGCGTCCATGCGTGGGTTCGAATCCCACCGAGGCTACTGAACTTTTCACAACCGACATACAAACTTCAAATCTGCCAAACAACAATTTGAACAATCACAGATGAGGCATGAGTTAAGTTAGCTGCCGCGTGGTAGTGTACATATTTGGGATCAGATTAGACGTGCAATGCAATCGATAGCGGATGTTGCTTTTCGACCTGAACCTCAGGTCCACCCGAAACTACATGTATAATAACAATGACTACGTGACTGAAGGTTAAGACAAATAGAACATGAGGCACGGACGGGTGGTGGTGCGGTGGTTCAGTCGCTGTGGCTGGTGTGCTTTGTACCGAACTCCACCACTGCCACATAACTTTGGTAGGTAGATTTGTTGTAGTTCGGCTCAATATCGTGTCTAACCTTGAGGGGGGGGGGTACGTAGTAGCGCTTAGAGTGCCGGTTTCCGTCATCGAATAGTAGGTTTTTGCGACTATGGGGTCTACAGCGCCTTCTGTTCTTCATACACAGGTGTAAAAAAAAATAGCATTATAAAGCGAGTCAGTGATAAACGAACTTACACACGATGCTCCACATGTTCGAGCAAAGCCTTCGTATAAGCGTTAGTGTCAGCCTCTTGATAATCTTTAGCCCAAGCAGCGCCCAAAGGATTAGCCCTTACTCCAAATCCACGCCTGCTTGGATTGGAGCTATCAGGAAACAGCACGCGACTGTGAAGAGAAAGATGTACCAAAATGTATCTCTTACGAAGTATTTTAAAATACATGGTGTAGGGTGGACGAAATAAACACAATGCTGGGCGAATCTATTGCACGTAAGTACATCAAAAGATAGGTGATACACATTAATATAATGGATAGAAATCAATTCATCCAAGCTCCAGTTGAAGAACCTGATATCGGATGTCATCAAAGACAACGTTCAGAATAGAGGGAGGCGACATAAATGGCTACGAACCATATAAGCCAGCATACCTAGTCAGAATCACTAAGGATTTCACGTGGCTAAATCAATGATATTTTGGGCGGTGGTGATCAAGCGGTTAAGGTCACCAACTCATCGCCACGGAGGACGAGTGCTCGAATCCCGCCATCACTTGCCCAGTTTTCAGTGTTGTTTGGTAGCCCGGAGTGATCACTTCCACCTCCTGAAAACTGTATTATTGTATATTCAACAAAATGAGGTAAAATTAAAGAAAGATAAGATAATAAGATGTTTTTGTTTAAGTTGCTATCACTAGCTTTTACGGTACGTTAGAGCCGGTTTTCATTTCGCCGTCAGAAAAATGTTATACTAGGCATTTCTGTTGTCACCGCACTCCAAGGCACCCGTAGGTTATTTGGGTATAACCAGTACCAAAACTTTTGTCGTTTTGTATCAAAACAGTAAACACCATACACTCAATTTGACCAACTTCGAGGCAAAGCAAACTGTTCGTCAGCTGATCTATCATATTCGGCACGTAACCACTGTGCCGTGTGTAATCTAAATGAAACAAGGGATATACACCGTAAATAATAAAACATTCGATAGGCGACAGTAAGTTGGTCTAAGAAGCTAGTAACAAGCAACCAGCTGTCGTCATTATTTAAAGCTATCATCTAATGACAACTTACCTCGGTTTATGTCGGCGCTTTTCAGCACGAGAACGTACAGGAACAGGACTTTCAAGACCCGAGGAAGTGCTGTATTCAGAGCAAGGGGTAAGCGTTCGTCCGGGAGTGGAAGTGGGAGTTCCTGAGGGATGGCCTTTAAAGGGAGTAAGCGACGGTGTATTGATCGGAGTGCTATTGGTTGAAGAGAATTCGTCCGCGCTGACAGTCGTGGTGGACCCTGGTGTGCCACACAACTTTTTCTCTGCATCAGGAGCTTGTACATCACTGTCATTATCTGTAACCGTGGAAAAATATAACGAATGTAAAAACTGATTTAAGTGTCCGATTCCAAACCGATTTTCGCTAGGCAAACTATCATCCATGAATTTTGGACAAAATGGACACTCGAGAGCAAGTTGACGAATCCTGTCTTGTGGAAGACAATCCGACAATCACGAATAGAGAACTAGGAGAGCGATGCTAGAATTCCAACAAAGGAGCGATATAATTGCGGTGAACATTATGTGGTTGTAGTCACGAAAGCACTTAAAACTATGGATTAATGAAAGGACTTAACTCTGTACTGTATACCAATCCCCCCATTGCCTGTTATTGTTATACTTGTTTTGGTGTTGGAACCATGTTTGCCCGTAGATCGGGAGCAATTTTGGATGGACAACTCTTTCGGAGCCAAAATTAACCGGTGTTGCAAATGAGGATACTGTGACGAAAATACATTTCCTGAGTACAAGTATATGAATGAACTGACAAAAGATTACCGGATACGCGTGTCTGATGAGAGGCAAACCTGCGAAACCGGTCGTATGTTTCCAGGGAAATTTTGTAGTCATTCAGGTACTACGTATTACGAATTACATACAAACGTATAACGAGATGTGGACTGTCGTCGGTTTCAAACGCTCTAATGCTTGGGTCAACAAAAATGCAACAGTGCATCAGGTACATACACCGCAACATGAATTTTACAAACCTTAAACCCGTAAGCATAAAACTGCTGACCCAAGGAATAAGACAATCACATTATTCTTCCTTGACCAAGAAGTAGCCGTACATTGACCAGCAGACTAGCGAAGTAACTTGCTCACTTCTGCATTATCAACATTGATTGGGGGAGAAAGTTGTACCCCACAGAAGTTTGCGATAAACATGGGGTGGCGCATCAAACGCTCATTTTGCTGTTCAGCAGTTAACAAACTTTCGCTAATTTTGCATGAGGGAATGGCTAGCGAGTGGACTGGCCCAAAGATAATGTTGTTTTCTACCTATGGCCCAGATGTGAAAGCAATTTTGTAGGATTTCACCTATTCATGTGCAACGGCATATAAGCTTAAATGAGCAAGGATCATCAACTAAACTTAGAATCACTTACACCCGCTGAACGACACGCGTGGAGTAGCTGTAATTCAACTAGTATGGGTTACCTCGGTCACTTTCCGATGATTTGCCACACTTCCAACGCATGTGACGAAGTGTGGCTGTTATCCAATACTTTGCAACACTATGTGGCTTTGCTGGTGCCCGAGTTAACACAGTTCCCTCAATAGTGAGGTATAATTTGTATACCAAACCAAAGCCCGGAGCAAAAGCAGCTTATCACTATCATCGTATAGTGGGTTCTGGTGACTATTCTGCAGTACATGCATTAGGGTATCATGAAAAGCGCGTTTTGGGAAAGTACACTAATGATAAGGGAATGCCCTGAAATAACATGACATTGTTGTTATCACATTTATTATTTCTAAGCGTCAATCTATCCAAGTTCAGCACTGAGAAGGAAAGCGCTACTCCGCAAACGACAGAGCCGCACCTGTCATATAGTTCAGGTGAAGAGTAATAAAACCGCTGCAATAACCATAAAAGAAAACCCGCATGATTACAAGAACGCAGACTTACACGAAGTCGACGTCAAATCTTGTTTACGTTTGGAGGCCCTAGGTGGAGATGGCATCCTTAGATTTACATTTGTATCACCGGCAGTTCTTCTTGTTGAGCGTGAGATTTCGTTCTGGCAGGTAAGAATGAACAAAGAACGAACGGTTTTCACACCGATATTAGGACATAAACAACGAGGATGTTTGTGAGCAAATACATACTGCCTTAAAACCACTGTGTGACTGTTAAATGCCCCTAAACGTGACACTTACTTTAGGCGCCCAACAGTAACTCGCACAATCAGCACACTCACCATGGAGTTGACCTTTTCTTCTCTATTTTGATAGCCTGTCTATCTGTACAGGGTTGTTCTCTAGGATTTGGCCGCCCAATCTATAATAAACGTCTACTTTCGATAATCTCTAATCAGTGACATGGGGAGTAGTTTTGTGTACCTATTGTTCAAAGGAATCCACTATTAATTAAAGCGATGATACTAAACAATATATATGGTGGGGGTCATATGCTGTGATCCACGCAAACGGCTGTGGCTCTAGTGAAAGTCTGTCCAGTCCTTCACATACTATTCATTACATGTGCCTGTTTGTTTTACGTCAGCGATTGAGATTGAACAAAAAGCTAACATCTCGTGATGTTTTCTTTCGGTTTTGATCTGATGGATGAAGGGAGTATTTTGTATTGAAACTCCAGTTTATTGTACAACTCTCCTACAGGGGCCCAGTGTTTTAAACGTACATGTACTATGCTGAATAAACATAAACTCACCAATTTCTCCCAATCCACGGCATTCCATCCTGAGCGTACGTTGGTGTCAAGGTCTTTCGAACGAACTGCAACGTGCTTCTCTAAAGGCCACATAGCATCATGAGCGTCACTTGATTTGGGAACACCCGCAGGAATCAGTCCAAGACGCTTGGCACGATCCGCAGCAGCATCTACATATTGGGCACCTACAGTGCTATTACTCAAAGCTAGGCGTTTAGCTGCCTCTCCAGTCCCACCATCAATGTGCACATTTGATTCGGACTCGATCGACACGGTTGGATCAACAGATCCTGATGCACAGGTTGCCAAACCTTCATCTGGAACTGTAGTCGCGGTGAAAACTGCATCTACAGGGGTCGCGAACCGCGGGACACCTGGAATACTAGCAACGACATCTGTGTTGCATTCGATACAGGTATAACCCTGGGCTAAACTCGGTAAAGTTGTGTGATAAAGCGATTCCATACAGTGGACATGCTGATACAAGCTGGAAAGCAAACGAGAAAAGCAGTGACAGAACCGCTTCGAAACCACCGCGACGATGTGAGAAACTAATGGATAAAATTGAATTCCTTGGGTATACTTATAACCAAGTATGAGACCGAGTAAGTAGAGAATTTATTTACTCAATGCTGAACACCAGAAAAGAATATGGTGAATGCTTTTATGCAAATCAGAGGTATCAGACCGTAATTATTTAGCATCTTTAACAAAACGAACGATTCTTGTAAACACAACTAATGCAAACCCAGTGCCAATATGTCAATAACAACAATCCACAGAAGACTACGAATAGCAAAATAAAAGAAGCATCAAGAGACGCACTTGCACTGAAGACATTTGATCAATCTGGTTTTGTTCTGGGAATTTCCACAAGGGCATCTCAAGCAGGACCACATGTCGCTGAGAGCTCCACCGTCAATCACCAAAGCCCGAGCGTTCTAAATGCAAACCAGACATTGAGTTGTAGCAATATCTGTTTTCTACAATATATAAATGTCATAATATCATCAAAATGAGATTCCTATGTCTAGCGTAAAGCGTGATGGCATTGTTTATGAGTATACTCATCGTCGTTTTAGATGGGTTAATGTGAATAGTAGCCGCTGGTTAGGGACCTGTGCAGGTAACCGCAGAGAACGATACTACTGTGCATGACTTTGGCACACGTAATCCGAAAATTACGGAAGAAGGTAACACATCAAGGAAAATGTTGGTAAGAGGAACTACCTTTTCCGCGGGATAACCTTCATCGCCTGACGCATCACTGTCTAGGTCGCTTAACTGCGACGGTGACACAGCGAGCTCTTCTGGGACCTCGATAACCTACAATGGAGAAGTTTAGATTTATGTAGGCAAGAGTGACAGGAAAAATTACAAAAGGGTAAACAAACGTGCACTGTTCCACTGATCGGTGAACTACGATATATTCAGCAAACAATAAACAGCATGGTAGGAGAACATGAACCGATGTGAAGGAAGAACGCATCTCCTGTTCAAGGCCGAAACGGTTTCAAACTGACTTTACGGCCACATTTGAGCACCCAGATACAAGGTAGTTCGGAGACCAAGTTCCCATCCATTCCTCAACGCCCAGCCTGTTTTATCAATAAATGGCATGAGTTACGGCAGAAGAGATAAATCCCATAACCTAAAAATGACACTGCATACAAACGGAAAGCGATGTGGTACAATTATGCCCAGGTTAGAGATTCCCCAGAAATGGATGAACTGAAATCAGAAATGCGACAGGAGACAGTTGAACAAAATGCGCCTCGATGTGCACAGGGATCCTTTCATCAAGCGTCAGATCACACCAGAAACATCGAACAGTAGAACTGTGATAAAGTTCTGTTTCCAATTCTTCCAGATTCGAACTTCGGCGAGCTGGCAAGAAATTATCGATGATACTTCGCAGTCTGGTACCTTCAAAAGGGATGGACATACGTCAAAAACAGGATTCTGACAAGGTTGGGGTTGTATCAAGTTATGACCAACAATAGCAGGGGCTTAAAGCGGACATCTGACTCAGTTGATTATAACGCCCTAATCGGTTTGTTTATTTAGAAAGGAATGCCTAAAAAGTATGCCAGTCTACTGAGGTCGCTGAATCTTCATACTTCTGGTAGAATCTAATGCGAGCTAAGTAAATCGTTAGCCACCGGTAGCAGTGTCCACTACGGATGACTTTCATATAATTTATGTGCAATTCTATCGGAGACGAAATACTGGAGAACTCCTGCAGTAATCCCCAAAATGTCGGTGTGGAACGGGCAAATGGAGAAAAGCTTCGCGATTCCGACTACGCTAACCAGATCGAACTACACTAAAGACTAGCAGGTTCCGTGGCTTCGATTGATATGCCTTTTACAACATCAGAGTGCAAAGATACTGCAGGATTGGGTGTCTTCACCCCTGCTCCGAAACTTCATCAGCAAGTAACTACAGTGAGTTAGATCTCCTACCTGGGGAGTTGAATTGGCGACGCGTTCTACTTTATGGTAACAAGACCTGGCACCTTCGCGTTGAGGATGCTAATCGACTCTGTATTCGACCACTGATGTCTCCGAAGCATTTCTCGTGCCTGGTGGGAAAATCGGGTGAGCAATGATAAGGTTCATCGTTGTATTGGGTGTGGATAGTCGCTCTCTAACAAGTAATCGCTCTACATCGCCTCCGGTGGTGTGATCACGTTTTAAGTATGCCTGCCCATCGGCCACTTTTTCGGGCAAAGCTGGAAGAAGCACCGCGGCGGTCAGACTATGACACGGCGTATAGGTATGAAGAAGCTAGCTTCAGCTTTGGCTTTGATTATATATATATATATATAACGGTGTTACCATCAAAGAGCGCAAAAGGGCAGTAAATTGCATACATACATCGATAAGAGATACCACTTGCACTAAGATAACGATAAACTCTTGTTATGACAGACATCAAATGATGAACTTGAGTCTGTGAACAATGTACATCACCAATTGCAAGGAAATTCAGCGGAATCATTTGGCAAACATTGGCAGTGGATAGCCAGGAACTCTGCATATATTGTGATGCGCCCTCACTCAGTGTCTCTATCCATCATCCCGAGGTTTCCAGCTAAGGAGCCTAACGGAACCTATGTGGCCCAGACTCCTGGTTAGGGTTTTCATACCCCCATGCCAGGTCTCAGTTTGACCCTTGCTCTTTTTCCAACCGCCACCTGCCTTGGCAAACATCGCTCGCCGCGGTAACCTATCTGATAACATGGTAACACATGCCCCAACCAACGTAATCTATGCAGGTCGATCACTTGCTCCAGTGGACCACCGCAAATGCCTAAAACCCAACGCCTAACCTCAGCAATGCTCATCCGGTTACCCCATCAGACTCGTGCAATGCGACGTAGACAGCGGTGTTCGAACACCGATAATCTATTTTTATCCTGGACCTTCACTTAGTAGCACAACGTCGTCTGCATACTCTAGATCAGACAGTCCGCCACCTGGAAGTAAATCGATACCGCTATCTTCGCACGAGGATAGGGCTGTTTCCATAATCAGATCTATA